TTTAAAACGTATTCTAGTCCACTAACCTTGCAAAGAAATTTAACCTTAGAGAAGAAATCCAAGAATAGCATATCTTTCTGACCGTGCAATGAGCCAGGGTCTCAACCACATCGTCTGTAGTGCCCGGCACTACAATGTACCGGATTTAGGCTACCGAACCCGTAATAAGGGAAATGCAGACATTTAATTAGGCTTGGCTCACAAATTTGAAGCAATCAGCTGCCGATAGCCTAGCGCCATGACCTTGGGGCCTGGACACGGCTCGCCACTGCGACGCGGGCCCCGCTGGTCCCACCCAAGGGCGCTGTAGGCGGATGACGCAGGGATACATAGATAGAAATACGCATCTACTTTAGAACGGCCTCCGGCCCTACGAAAGGACTCCCCTATGGGGTGCAATTTTAAGACACTAGGCCGATTCTAATACTTGGTGGGGAATCTAGGTGCAAGACCCTGAGTCCACCTATTGTCTACGGGTACGGGTATGTAGCCTGTGTGATGCACAGCGTCACAGCGTCAGTGTCGTAGCCAGCCCTACGCTGGTGTGGCTGCTGAGCATTCTTGTTTTGGTTGCCTTAACTTTCTACCTAAAGTAGTACAACTTGCCTTATAGTATTGTATTCGTTCTCGTCAAGCTAACTAGGTCTCTGGCCCACGTGAGCTCCATCGTACTGCCTGTGCGCTAGGCTTTTCTGCTGCTTAACCCCGCCACACAAGTCTTCATATCAGCCACGGAATGGGTCTACCTATGACTACAACTACTAAAGGATTGGCACGATGTAGGCCTTTAGGTGCAGCGTTTGTCTATTCGCCTGTGCACTCTGAATACCGTCCGCGAAGATTGCATGAGGTGCGTGAGTTTGTCCCGACACCATGACTACACCCCGCCGATCACTTTAAAGACTCGCGATTCAAGAGGGAAAGGGGGAGCAGGAATATTTGACAGGAATTCAAACTTGGCTTTCACACGGAAGCGCTTCCTCCATTTTCGTCTCCAGGCCTACTGTTTACGCACCGTTTGCACATTGCATTCCTGGCTACGTGGGCATCTCTCTGGAGCCTCCAGGAATAATGGGAGTTGCTAAGATGAGGGAGATATAGTATTTTCCCACACCAGGATTTAAGCGTAGCCGCAGATATGCGTTACGTCGAACTCTCAAGGCGCCTTCTTCGGCCTGCTCTATGCACAAGCGTGTTAAACATAGACACCGCCAACTTGGCACTGAGGCACTGCAACACGTGGACAAAGGCACAGAAGGTGGCTGCGTCGATTTCACAACAACGTCACACCAATGGCGACTGCCGTTGCAGTGAGACCAAACAGACTGGGCAATACAGTCGAGGCGGAGCCTGTGAAGGCACTGACGATCTTCCCCCATTGCTCTTCTCTGCACGGCACACAGAAGACAAACAAGCAGGTACCACATTAGGGAGATATTCTGAGACAAGAAAAACTTAGATATATCATAATCAATAGTTTTATGATGCCGTGGAGGCTCACGTAAATGGAGCAGCATTCTCGCCCGCTGTCAGCACATCAGGCGTCGTCATGCAAACCAAAGCATAGCCGAGCTTGCTCTGCCCGTCCCCCGTGGAGCGCATTCGTTGCTCGCCGCCGGCCGTTGTAGTTTTTTGGGCGCAGGTGACAACTCGGCAGTCCGCAGTGGCGGCGGGTGATGGGTTATATATGGCCACGAACGATACATTATCTCTATCATCGTATATTGTGGTGGAATTGTCATTTGGCGGGGGCAGGTCGCTGAAGTTTTTGTACGCTGCATTCCATCCGTCCACTATATCCGCGCAGTTTGGGGTCTCCGATGTGAGCGTCTTAAACGCGTATGTGCCGCTGCCGAACTTAGGTGTCTCAACGTCACTTCCCAAAGCTTTCTCGAGAATTTCTTCCTGAAAAACGGAAGGAGCAGAGTAAGGGGTAGCTGTGGTGGTTCATCGCGGGAATTGGCCTGCGGTAGGCATAACCGAAAAAAACAACTCACCGGTATCAAGGCCTTGCATAGAGACAGCCAATCACCCGTAGCGGCGGTTTCGGCAGCAGGGCCTTCAGGCAGCTTTTTGTCTGTCTCTCCGGTTGTGGGTTTCGTTAGTTCACTGAAACCAACTTTTGCGCGAGCGGCATTAATATCTGTGAGACATGCACCCTCCTCTCCTGTGAGCACAATACAAACAGATTTCTCAGAGCGCGGGCGACATGATGTGCCCACTAAACCAGACTCTGGGAGTCGAGGCCACACCCACCACTTGAGGTTCACTGGGGCGGTAGGCGGTGAGGAGAAAGCGTTGAAGGTGCTTTCTGTTTTCCAGAGCAGAATGCGCTTTGACTTTGGCAGCGTACCGAGTTTTGCCGTGTAAGTTATGGTAACATCATCTTCGCTGGCTCTAACCAACGACAGGATCGAGGCGCTGACGACGGAGAGGAGCGCGAGAGGCGCCATTTGCAACTGTTAGTCGTCAGAAAGTGCAACGTAAACGAACTAAAAGACAAGCTCAGGAGATACAATAAGGCGTTTGTGTCACTTGAAGCATGGTTGGCACCGCACGGTCCGTTTGCGCCCGGTAGCTGATCGGTTGCGGGGGTGCACGGGAGATGCCTTGCAGGGTGAGTCAGGCCATCAAAGCTGTGCCTCAGAAGGCCTTATTTCAAGGCTTATGAATGGAGAGTATATTTTAAAAGTAAGAAACGTAATTTTTCGAAACATGAAGTCTGTTGCTCCATTCGTTTCTCCGCGTCTGACGGGTCGTGTAGCCCCGTGTCCAGCTGATCGTTGCCGAAGGCCTGTGTCTTGGAGCGATTCACTGAACAGGGGACATACATGTTTCGTTCGCGTTTTGAATGACATTCATATGCGTTTTAAGCTGTTGTCAGCGAGCAGAATCGCACTTCTATGGAGAAATTTGACAGGGTTGTTCGCTCAGGATGTGAGCCGACTGCAAACTGCAGTCTCTGTCTGGTAACTGCGGTGAAGCGTTGATTGTCCAGCAACTTAATGACCTTGCAAATAATCTGGAAATGTCACATGCAATCCTACATCGTATTAAGGACACTGGTAACTTATGTGCAGTGCAAGTTGTTACAGGCTTCGGCTGTTAGGCATGTCTGCGCATCGACCCAACTAATTACTAGACAAAGTCGTGTCAATTTGTCCTATCGTTGTTATTTACGCATTAATTTCCACTGGTGAGGGAAAGTTTCAAACGCTAGGTGAGCAGGGCTTCACTCGACAGCAGGGTATCTGTGGCGCCGCTGGAGTTGAGGATGGGACATCCACGGATGTTGGACGCATATTGCCCACGTATCAGCGCCATTCTAATAAATCTTTCATGTCTTAAAATAAGTTCAAAGAAATATCCCCAAATTTTGTTTATGTTATCTTCCCTGGCGTATGGCTCTGTTTGCCCAACAGGGAGACCACAGTCGGCCACTAGCCCCGGGGACTACACGACCGCTGGCTGTCCGCTTAGCCCCTAGGACTCCCCTTGCGGGGCCTACTTTGCTTCCTTATTTTCTACTCAATCAATCGCGTTTTCCTTTTTATCGGAATATGAATCATTAGTTCCACACAGTGTCTGTTAATAGCTGACACCAAGGTTAAGGCTGCCCGCCACTGCTACTGTTGTTCGCGGTAATACAGTATCCGAACTAACGAAAGCCGTCTTACCGTAGCCAAGGCTGCAACAGCAGTCCTTCACCTTGGTCGAGGATTTCCCTAAGCTTTCCATGGTCAAAATGCTTGAGAAAACATATCGCGGATCCCCCACTGAGCTCCAGGCCTCTTGGGCACAACGGTTCAAGGGGCCTGGGCCCATGATGCGGGAGCCAGGCAGCTGATTCTGTCACGAGTTGCAGCATATATTACTGCAACTTCTGTTGCAGCGCAGCCCCACATGAGCGTGTGTGCGATGCCCTTGTTAATGCAACCCCACTAATACTGTAGACAATTATGAATGAATTCCTTTCCCCTCAGGAGCCGGCCCATCATAAAGTTGCCTCAAATTGCTGCCACGGCACCAAGGACTGCTACGGCAAGACTGATCGCACTAGGCAAGACAACCGATGCGGAGCCTTCCAAGGCGGCGGCGATCTGCCTCCATTGGTCCTCTCTGCAGAACGCAGAAAAACAAAAAAAATGCCGTGTAAAGCGCCTCTCAAGAAGCAAAGGCGACATGATGCCTCCAAAAGACTCACGTGAAGGGGGCAGATTCACTGCTCTTGGGAAGAACGTCAGGCGCCGTCAAGCAAATAATAGCAGAGCCTTTTGTCTCTGTTCCTTCTGCATTGCTTCCGTCATTGCCCTGTTTCGCTGCGGGTGGGCTGGCAGGCGCAGTTGTTTTGGTGCAGGTGACGACTCGGCAATCGGCAGTAGCGTCCTCTGAAGGGTTGTACATGGCCACGAAAGAGACGTTGTCCTGGTTTTCGTACAGTTCTTCATTGGCTTTTCTGGATGGAGGCAGTCCATCGAAGTTGCTGTAGGATTTCTTCCACTCATCCACTACGGCAGTGCAGTCGGGGGCTTCGGCATCATCGACGCGCTGGAACGCGTATGTGCCACTCGCGAAGGTTTTAGAAGTTGTATCGGATTGAGTTTCTGGCGTTTCCTCCTGAAAGCACCAAGAGAGCGAGGGGCTGCCATAATAAATTCTAGGCGGTGCATTTCCTACGGAAGGCCAGTGCAGAGAAGTAAACAACACACTGGAATCAAGGCATCGCAAACGGGCTTCCAAACCCATCCTGAATTGTCACCGGCGGTTGAATCTCCGGGCTTTGGCAGTCTTTTATCGCTCTCGCCTTCTGGAGCGATTACTAAATCTTTGAAACCGGCATTCGAACGAGCACCGTTGATTTCTGAGAGACATGCGCCTTCAGTTCCTGCGGTCAGAAGTACAAAAGGGCGCATCAGGAGAATTCTCTATCTTCTTAACAAACCTCCTCCGGAATATTACAAATTGTCCTGAGCAGTACAAGTCCTTCACGGGGTGGTAGCGCAGTTGTAGCCGGGTGAATCCAGTTTGCAGCCAAGACAGCAGTTCCAGCGTCTGACGGCACCGGCTGTCAGCCAGCGTACCAAGTGTGACCTTGTAAGTCGTCGTTTGTGAAGGCGGGTCATCATCGTTCCCGTTGGCTTTGGCTAGTAGGAGGAACGAGGCACCGACAACCGTGAGCACACGGAGAACCGATATTGTTGAAGAACGCATGTTGGATGCCCCGAGATGTACGGGAGTGAAATACTTTTCAAGTTACAAACAATGAAAGCCTGATTGACAAAATTAAATGCGACGCAGGTATCATTAGGATTCGCTCGCTCTGATGTGGCCACTGGCGGGTGCACGGGAGGCGTGTCTTGCTGGGATTCAGTCCAAAGACGAGTCGGCAGTCGGATTTTCCCTTCTTGGAACTATGAAAGTATAGTTCCGTTTAAATTTTTATAATTACTTTGCAACCGGTCCGGCAAGGCGATTTGTAATCATATCTCGAGCTACGGATATTGGCAATTGATATCTGTCCCCTAGAGGCTGGCCAGCTGTCTACAGGCTTCGGCTTGGAGCTGTGTCTGCACTCTGGTGAAGCATTTGACCTGGAAGCTTAATAAACAAAAAGCGCTAACTGATCGCACTGTTGTTATTCCTACAATGAAATCTCAATGGCGAGAGAGGTTCTGAAGCACGCACCGAGCAGTGCCCCACTCGACCGCAAGGATTTGAACGAACGAAAGCGGTCCTATCGTAGCCGAGGATTATCCTAAGCATAAACAGAATCGAAACGGTGTCTAATTGTACGCTTAAAAACGATCTTTTGAAACTCTCCAGGGCATATACACCCTCCAAATCGTACGCGATTGATGCGTGATTGAAAAAATGCAATACGAGGTGGTTTCACTAGCTCGGTGGTTGTCGGTAAGGTTGATGGTACACATGTCTTGCTGGGCGGGCCCTCGGCGCAACCGCGGTTGGAAGAGGTTATTTTAGCTACTCAAGTGTAATTTCATCTATGCTTAACATAAAGGCCTTCCAAGCGGCACACTACAGCCATCTCTGGCCGCGTTTTCAGCTGCACGTATATCTCTGTATCTTGCAATTCGCTGCTGGACAGTTCGCCGCAGGCTTTGGGTTGGAGCCGTGCCAGCACCCCAGCGGAGTAATCTGCTAAAGAATATAATAAAAATAAGCAATTCAAAAATAAAATAGTGCCTATGCATCCGTGGAGCAGCTGACAAGCGCTGCCTCAGTCTACCTAAGGGTAGTTGAAGGACTGACAGCTGTCTCATCGTGACTCATCGTAACCGATACTGTAGCACTTGTCCCCGATATCAACCGAGGATCCCCTTGTGCTTCCACAGAGTGAACAACAATTATGGTAATATTACTACCCCAACGTAGCTAGTCAGCCCTTCAGTCTCGGGGCCTCCGGGGCACACAAGCACATGGACTGTGGGTTGAAGCTCCAGAGCATAGTCAACATATTCTCTCACGACTTGCAGCACATATGCAGGCGCAGATACTGTAGGCGATTTCCAAGTAACTTCCAGGCAACCGGAAACCATCCCGTCGTTTCGTTGCGTCACATCGCCGCCACAACGGCGAAGACTGCAGTGATAATGCCGAGCACAGTGGGAAAGACGGTCGACGCGGATCCTTCGAGGACGGTGACGATCCTCCCCCACTGTTCCTCTCTGCAGAACGCATACCAGCAAAGCAAAAAAAACCGTGTAAAGATAGCCTAAGCAGGCAGATGGGAGATGCTGCCTTCAAACGACTCACGTGAACGGAGCAGTTTTGCTGTCCTCGGGAAGAACGTCAGGAGTCGTCATGCAAATCAAAGCAGAACCTTCTTTTGTTTCTTCTTCTGTGGTGTCTTCTTCTTGCGGTTCCCCCTGCGGTGCCGCTGGACCGGGGGTGATCTTTTTAGTGCAGGTGACGACTCGGCAGTGGGCTGTGGCGCCCTCTGATGGGTTGTATATGGCAACAAAAGAGACGTTCTCATGATTGTCATATAATGTGTTACTATCCTTCTTCGATGGTGGGACTCCACTGAAGTTGCTGTGGGCTTTCTTCCACGTGTCCACTACGGCAGTGCAGTCGGGGTTAGGGGCACTGACGACCTGGAACGCGTATGTGCCGCTCGCAAACTTTTTCTCAGCGGCTCCCTCGGATTTCTGGCTTTTGGCGTCTTCCTGAAGAGACAAACGTAGCGAAGGGCAGCAGAAATAGTTTAATGACCGCGCGTTTTCCTACGCAAGGCACGGGTAAAGAAGTAAACAACTTACTGGGATCAAGACGTCGCAAACAGGCTTCCAAACCCAATTTTCTGTGGTTGGTGACTCTGTGTCGGCTTCAGGCAGCGTTTTTCCTTGTTCACCTTGTTTGGCTGCTACGAAATCGTTGAAGCCCACATCTTTACGAGCATTGTTGATCTCGGAGAGGCACGCATCATCAGTTCCTGCACCCAGGAGGACAAAGCATCACCTTAAAGGGATCAGCGAATTGCTTAGCAAACTTGCCCTGAAGCATGACAATATACACCGATGCAACTGTTTCGCAGCAGTTGTATTCGAAGTGATTTTCGCAACCAGGGCAGCACTTCAAACGTCCGAAGGCATCTACAGGAGGCCAGCATACCAAGCGTAACTTTGTATTTTGTCGTTGCTGAAGAAGATTGACCGTCGCCCCCGTCGGCTCTGGCCAGCAGGAGGAGCGAGGCACTGACGACCGTGAGCAGACGGAGAGCCGGCATTGTTGCCAAATAGGTCGCCCCAAGCTTAACACTTGCAAACAATCCGTCTAGTCTTTGCAGGGAAGAAGTACCTTCCAAATTATATACGGCGATGGCCTGATTGGCAAAATGAATCTTCTGCGGAGGCCTCACTCGGTTTCCCGGGCTGTGAGGCTGTTAGCGCCGGGGTGCACGGGAGGTGTGTCCCCGGCCTGGCCGATGGGCAGGCCATCAGACACGCCGAGGAAGGCAGCAGCTTTTTCGCGCCGAATAGGAGCTAGGACAACGCAATTTCATTTGTATCCTGCATAATGGCTTTGCAAATGATTCAGGTCGGATATTTACGACCCTATCTCGAGCTCAAGTGTTGATAGCAGATGTATGTGCCCGGCGATCCGCGCCGGTCAGCTTGCCACAGGTTTTGGTGTGGAGTCGTGTCTGCACCTCAGTGAAGTGCTTCACTAGCCAGTTTACTCAATAAACGGGGGCTCATTATTCCTGTTGCTGTTGTTCTTGCATTGATTGTACACTGGCATGAGGGAGCCCGGAACACTTGGCCAACCGCACCGAACGCGACCGCATGGCATAAGCCAAGGCTTTAACGACAGTCCTCAATCTTAGCTGACGGCCTTTATAAACTGCAACAGAGTCAGGAGGAGCCAAGAGAATATACCTTGGGTTACGTTTCATGCCGCCCGGGCCCAAAGCCTTTGTTGGGGTTATGCGGGGGACCATTCGGTCAGCTCGACGGGTAGGAGACCTACGTTGACCGAAGTGGGGCGGAAAACGCTATTCATCCTATCTCTGTCACTCTACCTATAGCTTGCGTTTCACGGATACATCCCATGTAAAGGCCCGAATCCTCCTCATTAAGCACTGTCGGCCCAAAATTATCGACATGAAAACGGTCAGGTTGGAAAAAAAATAAAATCCGAGGGGGTCAGCCTTATCCCGGCTCTTCACTAGGGCGACATTTCCCGAGGACGTTCTCTGGGCTGGAACCCACTAGCGTGGCTGGCTGCTTGCTTTAGCCCGGCGGACATTCCGCTAGAGAGTACTATTGTAATGCTACGCTATCAGACTACTTATGTACTTATCCACGTTAGTACAACTTTTCCCTATTGTCTAAGTGCTAGCTGGTACTGACGCCTTTATTTCAAGGTGTCCCGCCCTTCAGTATCATTGTTGGGCACCATACTACCCCTGGGGCAGGGGAGAGCAACACATCCTGTCACGAGCTACAGCGCACATTGCTGCAAATCTTCCTATGAGGCGCACATTGCTGCAAATCTACCTATAGTGCAATCCCAAATGAGCTAATACCGAAGCTCGGTATCGATGCATCCGCTAATACTGTAGACATTTGCCAAGCAACACCTTGACCANGCTAATACCGAAGCTCGGTATCGATGCATCCGCTAATACTGTAGACATTTGCCAAGCAACACCTTGACCATCAGCAGTCAGCCCATCATAGTGCTGCAGCGACGCCAAGGAATACTGCGGCAAGGCCAAGCGTACTGGGCAATATAGCCGATGCGGAGCCTTCCAAAGCGGTTACGATTTGCCCCCACTGCTCCTCTCTGCAGAATACAGACCGACAAAGCACAGAACTGCCGTTTGGAGGACGGCACGATAAGCCTTCGGATGAGCAGGATCTAACGGACTCACGTGAAAGGAGCAGTTTCACTATTCTCCGAAAGAACGTCAGGCGTCGTCATGCAAATCAAGGCAAAGCCCTTTGTTTCTTTTGTTGCGCTTCCATCCGCAGCCAGTGCCGGCCCCGGCCCTGGGGAGACCTTTTTGGTGCAGGTGACGACTCGGCAGTCAGCAGTAGCATTCTTTGAAGGGTTATATATTGCCACGAAGGATACATTGTCCTGATTGGTATAAAAATCNCAGCAGTAGCATTCTTTGAAGGGTTATATATTGCCACGAAGGATACATTGTCCTGATTGGTATAAAAATCCTCGCTATCCTTTTTCGGTGGAGGCAAAGCATTGATGTTGCTGTAGGCATCCTTCCACTTTTCTACTACGGCAGTGCAGTCGGGGGTATTCGCATCGACGACCTGAAACGCGTATGTACCGCTGGCAAATTCTTTTCCAGAGTCTACGGGGCTGCTCTTCGTCTTGCTTGCCGCTTCTTCCTGAGGGCACCCAGAGGAAAAGGATAGTGCTGATCTAAAGATAGCGTCGTCTGTACGATGGGCACAACTATAAGTGAACGACTTACTGGTAATAAGACATCGCAAACGGGCTGCCAAACCCACTCTGCTTCGTCGTCTTCATCCGGGCTTCCAGCTGCAGGGAGCCGCGTAACAGCATCGCCGGTTTTAGCGACAATGAAGTCGTTGAAACCGGCCTTCTTACGAGCTGCGTTGATCTCGGAGAGACATGCGCCCTCATGATCTGCACTCACAGGAAAAAATCAATAGCATATTTGTTTAGCAGTAACTTTCCGCGGCACTGAAATTTACGCTCACCACTGGCACCTTTTCGGGTGTGTGCGGACTGTGAAGGGGGTTTGCAGCCAAGGCAGCACTTCAAGCCTCTGAAAACGCCCTAAAACAGCCGGCCTACCAAGTGTGACTGCATATTCTGTTTGTTCTCCCGTTGCCTGAGACGGGTTCCCGCTAGCTTTTGCCAGGAGGAAGAGCGAGGCACTGGCGACTGTGAGCAGACGGAGAGCTGGCATTGTTGCCAAATATATGCTGGAGGCCACGAGTTGGACGCCTAAAAACAAACTGTTGAGTCAATCCAGAGCAAAAGCACTCTTCCAATTGTATACGACAGAAGCATGATTGGCACGTGGGCCTCATTAGATTTCACAGGCTCCGAGGCAGTCGGTGGAGGGGTGTCAGCGAGCCGTGTCTTGTTGGCCGCCGACCAGCGCAACTGGAGTCGGCAGCCCATGTTTCGCTTTGCGGAGTTGTGTGGGTATAACACGATTAATATTTTGCATAGTAACTCTGCAGCTGCTC